TTTTGTGAGGTGTGGTAAGTTTTTAGGTGAGAGCTTGGGAATTTTACATTTTGAATTGAATTTGACTGAAATATTTTTTTCAGGGTCGTATGACCGGAGCGCTGGCGTTCGCCGTCTTTTCGGTAACCCTCGGTTCATTTCAATTTGGTTACCATATAGGATGTGTAAATGCCCCTGGAGAAGTAAGCATTGCCTTGGTTTCAACGTTTTGGGACTAAAAATAAGTTTTAGATGATTACTGCCTGGTTTCAAGACTCGCACGAAAGCTTATTCAGCAGCAAACTGGACAAGACAGGCGCTGATTTAGCATGGTAGGGGTTTTCCGACTCGATTTTGGGAATAATATCTGAGAATTTTGTTTTTCAGGAGTGTAGCTGTGTCGATGTTTGCTGTAGGAGGAATGTTCGGTGGATTGATGTCTGGCTGGTTAGCTGATAAAGTCGGTAGACGTGGTGGTCTACTTTACAATAACCTCTTCGCATTCATTGCCGCAGCATTGATGGGTTTGGCAAAACCTTTGGGTGTTTACCCAATGATGATCCTAGGCAGATTTTTCATTGGATTGTATTGTGGTGAGTAGCAATAGCTCTAGGGGGAATTATGGCCTGAGGTGAAGCTTTTAGGACTTACCTGTATCGTGCCAATGTATCTAGCTGAGACCTCACCGATGAACCTTCGAGGAATGCTCGGATCACTTCATCAGTTCATTGTTACGGTTGCTATTCTGGTTTCTCAGGTAAGTACCATAGGAATAAGACGTTTGAAAACTAAAAATTAATGAGAAGAAAATTTGAAATACTGAATTAAAGTGAAATTATGCACCAAAAAACTTTTCCACCGCAAGGCGAGATATTTCGTAGATATTTTTATACTTCACCAAGATTCACTAAAACAATCAACAACTACCAAATCAACACTCAAATTATTGAGTAAGCAAAAATAGAGCCTGATCTCTCTTTGGCCAAATTCATTTCGGTTGTCCATGTGAAATCTCGTACAAATTGCTTTCCAATGCCTTTATGTATCTGTTTTATATGCTTTGATTTTCCCCAAATAACGCGTTTTCTGAAGCAACAACATTTCATTTTTATGGGATTTGCGAACATGCAAGTCAATTTTGAAAATCAAACGTGCAAATTGGCTAACGTGAATCCATATGTATTTTCACGATATTGTATGCACCTGCAAATATATGAATGCAATTTCCACAGCTTTGTAATATATGTGCCTTTTATGACTTGGAATAGGGCGTATTTTCACAAGGCGCTTCCTATTTTGGAATTTTATGCATTGAATACGTACTCTATAGCAA